TTCTAGTAGAAGACAGCAAAGAAAACCTTGATTCTGCAGGGGCACCACCAGTGAAGAATTTATTGTCTACATCCAAATAAAGAGAGGTTAGATACATTTATGAAGTCACCATTGTTGAAAACATGTTTTCAAAACAGGGATTATATATTGATATTGATATTGTCCTGCATACATCGTCCATTAACAATTGTGAACATAATTTTGACTTCTTAAGAAATACTGAAGAGATTGACTTTAAATTATATCAGGTGTTTGGTGTATAATTATGAAATTCTGACAAAGTGTTGTTACTTTTCATGCTAATCTGAAAATCAAAGATGGCTGAACTGGCCTCTGATTGGCTGAGACAAGTTTTTTAGCTCACCTGGCACGAAGTGCCAAGTGAGCTTATGCCGTGGTGCGGCGTACGTCGTCCGTCCGTCCGACGTCCGTCGTCCTATGTCAATATTTTACTTTAAACGACTTCTTCTTAATAACAAAAAGGCCTAGGGTGTCGATATTTGGTCAGAAGCAAACTGGGATGAAGGGCTACAAAGTTTGTTCAAATGAATGACCTTCACCCATATTCAAGGTCACAGGGGTCAAATATGTTAAAAACCTTAAACAACTTCTTCTCAATAACCAAAATGCCCAGGGTGATGATATTTGGCCAGTAGCATGCTGAGATGAAGGGCTACAAAGTTTGTACAAATGAATGACCTTCTCCCATATTCAAGGTCACAGTGGTCAAATATGTTAAAAACTTTAAACAACTTCTTCTCAATAACCAAAATGCCCAGGGTAATGATATTTGGCCAGTAGCATGCTGAGATAAAGGGCTACAAAGTTTTTTAAAATGAATAACCTTCACCCATTTTCAAGGTCACAGGGGTCAATTGTCTTAAAAAACTTTAAACATCTTCTTCTGAATAACCAAAATGCCCAGGGTAATGATATTTGGCCAGTAGCATGCTGAGATGAAGGGCTACAAAGTTTGTTCAAATAAATGACCTTCACCCATATTCAAGGTCACATGCGTAAAATATGTTAAAAACTTTAAACGACTTCTTCTTAATAACCGAAAGGCCTGGGTGTCGATATTTGGTCAGAAGCAAACTGGGATGAAGGGCTACAAAGTTTGTTAAAATTAATGACCTTCACCCATTTTCAAGGTCGCAGGGGTCAATTGTCTTAAAAAACTTTAAACATCTTCTTCTGAATAACCAAAATGCCCAGGGTAATGATATTTGGCCAGTAGCATGCTGAGATGAAGGGCTACAAAGTTTGTTCAAATAAATGACCTTCACCCATATTCAAGGTCACATGCGTAAAATATGTTAAAAACTTTAAACGACTTCTTCTTAATAACCGAAAGGCCTGGGTGTCGATATTTGGTCAGAAGCAAACTGGGATGAAGGGCTACAAAGTTTGTTAAAATTAATGACCTTCACCCATTTTCAAGGTCGCAGGGGTCAATTGTCTTAAAAAACTTTAAACATCTTCTTCTGAATAACCAAAATGCCCAGGGTAATGATATTTGGCCAGTAGCATGCTGAGATGAAGGGCTACAAAGTTTGTTCAAATAAATGACCTT